TAACGAAATGCCATAAGATAAATAAAAGAAATGTACACCTGCATATTCTATTGTTAATATCGAATATCTAAAGAAGTCACTCTTTTAATTACTTTCAAGTTATTGGACAATAAACATGTATTGTTTTCAAACACCGACAAACGCTGCGTTAGAGCCAGGTGGTAGAGTCGTAATAATATTTTTATGATGGGCTAATAACTAATTGCTTTGCTCTTATTTCCCATTGGTCAATAATTAGGCTTATTTAGTTTCTATAAACACGTGTTTCCATGGTTTTGTTCACAAATAATCTCAATTAGTCTAAACTTGTGGTTTCTACAGTGAAGACGTCGTAAAATGGGAAAAGCACGCGAAATTAGCAGTGAATTGCGTTCTGCCATCGCCGTTTTAATGAAGGCAAATCCGAACGTGAGATTGCTTTACAATTGAAGTTATCGAAGACTTGTGTTCATGGTACAATAACTCTATACAGAGAGACGGGCACTTTTCAAGATCGTTCACGCTCGGCAAGGCCGAGAACTACCACGTCAAGTGAAGATCATTTCATTGTTTTACCAGCAAGCGAAATGGATACTTAACAGCACCGGAAATCCGCGTTGAAGTAAACAAAACCCGAGTTAAACCTTTATCATTGACTACAGTAAAACGGCGACTGAGAGATGCGAATTATATGGTCGTGTCGCTGTTCGAAAACCTCAGCTAAGGCCACAAAACAAGAAAAAACGGATGCAATGGGCCCTTGCCCATCGAGAATGGACCGAATAAGATTTTAAAAATGTTCTTTGGACTGATGAATCCAAGTTTGAGCTATTCGGTTCAAACGAAGAATTTACGATGACCAAGAAAAGCCAAACCAAGAAAAGATGATGCCAGACTGTGTAGTCCCAACAATCAAGCATGGTGGTAGCTCAATTATGGTCTGGGGTTGCTTTCCTAGCCAAGAACCTGGCGAGTTGATCAAAATTGATGGAATTATGAAAAAAGAAGAGTACAAAAAATTTTTAGAACAAAATGCCGTTCCTTCGGGGTTGCGATTAATTGGAGATGGATTCATTTTGCAACAGGACAATGATCCTAAGCATAGCTCAAAATTATGCAGAGGATATTTGGAAGAGAAAGAGGCACAAGGGGTGTTAAAAAACATGGTTTGTCTTCCTCAGAGCCCGGATCTCAATCACATTAACTTTTGTGGGCAGAGCTTGATAGGAACGTCCGTAATTGTGGTCCATCCTTGCGAGAAGAAATGTGGAATGCTTTGTGCAAAAGTTAGAGCAATATATCACAAGACAATATCAACAAATTGATTGCCCGTATGCCGAGACTTGTGAAAAAAGAATAGAATATAGTCATAGAATGCAAAGGATTTTTTGATGAAAAAATAGTTTAGCTAACCATAGCCTTTTTCAGCATGGACTGTTAATATTTCTTTACGCTTTACAAGTATATTGATTGTCGAAAAGTGTTTTATTGGATGATTTAACAGTTTAATTAAACATTTAATATTTTATTGGAGATTTATTTAATTTTCCTACTTTAATTAAGGTGGTCTTAAACTTTTGGCCTGCAATTTATTTGCTATGTAACATAACTAATATTCATAAAATAAAACAATAGTCAATGAGGAAGGCCTTTCAATCTACGACCTTTTAGTATTGCAATATGCACTGAGAACAACTGCACTAGTGACACACAATAAAAAACTGATACAATAGTAGTCCATGTTTTGATTACAAATTGCCGTTTCATAAGAAATTGTGCAACATCTGTTTTTTGTTGTAATTAAAGTAAAAAAAAAAACACTTTGTTTTCTAATAATGCTATTTCATTTTCATTGCAGACTATTTAAAGTTCACTGCTGAACATACGCCTCCCCCATAGATTGCCTTGTAGGAGGGATACTTCATTACAGCTGACATGCTTGGTTTGCTAGTTGGCAACAGGCATTTTTTTTTTGAGTTATTATCCGTTGCCTCTTACGACACCCACAGTATTGACTGCCTGCTTGGTCTAGTGATCGTAAATGCGGTTGCTGATCATGAGGTTCTTGGTTCGAATCCTGGGTCAAGCCAAAATCAGTTATTCGGTTTTTCTGTCGAGAAATTCTCAGGAGCAGCCCGGAGTCAGGAAGTTTGCAGTGTTTCTCAACCTAGTGCCTCGGAACGCACGTAAAGCCGTAGGTCCTGTGCCTCATCTCTCTCCGGTCGTATCGGACAATGAGTGAGCACCAGTGCTTGCGCTTGCACGTGAGCTCTATAATCTTGTACATCGCAGAAGGCTAGTCTCCGTTGAGATTGGCCGTCGTGACAGAAATTCGGTCTGGAGTACATTATTTATATGGGGTAGTGGATTTTCTTACTCCGCCACTACACGGCCGAATAACGCAATAGTTTTGTCTAATCATTGTTTATCTTGTAAATAGAAGTAACTTTCATTACTTGAATTTTTGCAATAGCCAATTGATAAGAGTATAATTGAGAGACGTTGGACTGAGACAAAGGCCATTGAGATTTGTCCATATTTTTAACACGCTTTTATTAGCTTGGTATGTATCTATGTAACGGAATTTTTGAATGTGATTTTCATCTCCTTCAAAACGTCGGATTGATTTGAAACTTCGTACACTTATCAAGGACCGATGACAATGCAATAATTTAAAGTTTGTCCCATTATGCTTGCCAGAATCCTCAGGATTTGCGAATAATTCATAAAACAACTACGATTTCTGCCAGTTCAATCTACTGTAAGACGCGTAAAAGAACATCGTTCCAAAAAAAAAAAGACGCTTTTATAAATATAAATAATAGTTTAAAAAGAAACTAAAAAAACACGCTTTTGTAAATAACCGAACTAAAAGGTAGAAAATATTTTTTTATAGTATAAGGGTGACAAACGAGCACACATCTATCCACGTTTGCGAATCAAAATGCAGATGCGTTGTCACCCGTGAGGACTAAGAAAGAATACCTCATTGCCAGTAAAAAGGGTCTCCGGTTCTCCACACTCACCATACGAAACTCAGCAGCTTTAAATTGCTATTTTACACTGGTATTCTGTGAGAGCGTGGTCCTTACCCGGTCGAGCCGACCCATTCGTGCTACAACTATACTATTAATATATCTGCAGCATGGCTCTACCACGTACAAAAATTATTAATTTAAAATTATAATTACACTTATTTTATATCTTTAAATTATTTTCAGTAAGTTTAAAATAAGAAAACAGTGATTGACATTAAAGAAATAATAATTTTATTGTAAAAAGCGGGGGGTGCTTGATGTAATTTGTTGTAGATATTTGTGAAATAAGTGAAATATCTGAAAAAGTTTTTAAAGTATTATTTTTATTTAACTAGTTCGTAGGGTTCTTTTTCCCTCTAATGCCTCATTGCTATATTTAAGAAACATTTCGTTCTCTATAATAATAATATTTGCATATAAAACAGTTTTTAGTACAAAATTTTATTTAGCAACTTAGAGAAACAAATTAATGCACTCCGCAAGTTGTTGAACCAGTATTTAATAATAGAAATATAAAATAAAAAATAAATTAAATATTAAATTAAATAAAAAATATTAATTAAATTAAATATTATATAATAACATTTTTTTAATTTTAGAAGTTTTTCTTAAGCTGTGTGAACTGAAAAATGGCTCATAAAGACAAAACGAGTTTTCCTTTATTTGCCATGTAGTCGCAGTTTAAAATAATGCACTACCTACCTGATATCATTCTGTGGGTATCATAAGAGGCGACAGAGGGAAAATGAGACAGGAGATGAACAGTAGCATCTTCCTGATAATAACTCAATAATAATAAAAACCTGCATCCACCAACCGTGGCAACTATGGCAAAACCCACCCTAAAAATGAGGCAATCTATCGGGGAGGCCTATGTTCAGCAGTGGACTTTATAGGCGGTAATGGATGGATGGTTGAATGGATGAGTGAACCGAAATCAAATATCAAAATACAAAATGAAGTCAACATCTATTCCCACCAAAAGTATGCAATTGGTTGCTATTGATCATAGATAAAATAAAACAGTTGTTTGTGAAACATTATTTTATGATATAAGAGTGGCAAAAAAGTTATTGGTCTATCTGAAACCCGCTTCCCAATTATTATGTGTTGTTATCAGGAAGATGCTGTGGCCTACTGTTCCACTTCCCTCATGTTGCCTTTTACTACACCCATGTCATGATATGGGGTAGTTGCTATTCTTATGCTGCCACTACATGGTTCACCACAACAACACAGTTGGATTCAGTTCATTATGTAAATGTATTAGTATTAATTATAAGACAAGGTATTTTTATATTAATAATTTATTATGGGTTATCCATTTAAATATCTCATTCTTTTTAACTATGATAATTGTACAGAATATTACCATAATTAAAAAGTATAACATAGTTACAGAGTGATTTAAATTAGCAAACAATTTTCACCAGAGCACAATTGCAATAACAATCTTTGATCTACAAAATTATATGTGTTTTTTTAGTTACTTAGAATTGTACCATGGTTACAGTTAAGAAAAAAACCAAAGAGATATACTTTTATTATTTAAAAGATGGTCAAAAATGTAATAATAGTTCCTATGGACCAGACAAATAAAGGGCAGAAAGTTTAACTACGCAATTCTTTTCCATTAAAATTTAATTTAGTAGAAATACACCAAAACATCACAAAAATTCATTTGGACAAAGGTATTCCTGTTCCTAAGTGATGAGTTTCCTAATTTCTTAATTGAAATTCCTAATTGTCGAGTTCTTATATTCAAAATAATTTATCTTATCAGCGCTTTGTGCATGTTGTTAAATGCATCTGAATTGTACTTAAGTTAATTTATGTAATTATTGCATATTATTTTGCACATGCGACATGAATAATCTGTTGATACTAATTTAAAAATTGTAACAACTACTTGTACACAATTCAGTAATAAAATCTATTCTATTCTATAATTTTATTGGATTGTGAACATATTTAGAAACTTACCTCTGGTGAATCAAATGGGTATTTGTTTGTGAATTTGAACTGCAACACAAATTTTTCACCTTCATACAATGTGCCGGGAACTCCTTCCATGTGAACTGTCCATCTGCAGAGATGTTGAAAGCATCAGCATGATTTTACAAAGGTGAAATTTGTCAGAGAAGGTACTGAGAAAATTTGCTATTAGACATATGTTTAGAAATACAAAATAGTTGGGTTACAATAAAACGGCCTAGTGTGATTATATTTACAATAAATATGGCTAGAATTTTCACTACATCCTTAAAATTAGTGTTTAAATCAGTGTAATCATATTAAATTAGAGAATTAATAATAACAAGGTAGGAACATATATCATACTAAGAGTGTATTATGGTACATTACAACAATTATTTTGTCAAAAGTTAATTTCACTAAGTGAGATATTAAATGGCCACCAAGAAGGCCATTTCTTGTTAAATATGCTAATAAGAATTCCCTGAAATCATCATTATAATATAGAACATATCATCATTATAATATATAATATAGAAGAGGAATATCAAGGTAAAATTGATAACGTTATGTCAAACATTTTGTGACAATTTTAAATTAGTCTTCAGTGCTGCTTTCAAGTATACTGAGCACAATCATCATAATCATCACAGCCTATCAAAAGTCCACTGCTAAACATAGACCTCCCCAGTAGATTCAAGGGGATCTTTGCCATAGTTGCAACACTTGGCAGGCGAGTTGGCAACCTGTTTTTTTAATAATTGTTTTGATTTGTTTTTACATGGTCGAGCCATACTGCAGCTATATTAGTAGTATAGTTGTAGCACAAATGGGTCGACTTAAACTGGGAAGGACCACATTCTCACAGAATACCAGCGTAAAATAGCAGCTTAACACTGCTGTGTATCGTATGGTGAGTGTAGAGAACCGGAGACCCTTTTTACTGGAAAAGAAGCGTTCCATCTTAGTCCTCACGGGGTGACAACGCATCTGTATTTTGATTATTAATTGTGGATAGATGTAGATTTCTGTGGTTCACAGCAACCACTTACTATCATGTGAACTGTGTGCTCGTTTGTCACCCTATTCTATAAAAACAAAAGATGCTGTTTACCCGTCTCCTGTTTACATTGCTCTCTGTCGCTTCTTACGATGCCTACGGGAAGATATAATTTGTAGATTCTCTTACGCCGCCACTAAACGGCATGCTAAACACGTAAAGGTAGCTAATTCTCCCTACAACGAGAGAAGTCCATTTTTTATTTACTTTGTAATGATACTTACAATGTTAGATTTTGACTAGCCTGGTCTCCATCTACAGTGACACCTGGGGGAGGCTCTTTCATAAGAGACATTAATTCTTTTTGAAGTCTCCGCTAGAAAAATAAAGTAGTAAATTTGAAGCAACTCAAAAGAAAATAAGGGATATTTATTTTCTTCAATGTGACATGGGCATATTAATTTTACAACATGTATTTCGACAGCACAACAATTCCAACTCTGTCAAGAAATCTTTGAGATCTGTCAAAACATTTACATATTATAGTTTACAAAATGCAATTTACAAATAAAAGATGTTGTCGAAATGTAAAACATTACAGTCATAATTGTTTGTTCCATAAAGGTGTAAATTTAAAAGTAGAACGTAATATTTAAAATAATTTTACGAACCTCAGATGGAGACATTGACGCCATTATACCAATTTGAGATTCAGACGTTTAGAAAATATTACTATTGTTAAAATTAAAATTAATTGGTGTTGCAAGCGCATAAAACCAGTTTACACAGATATCAGAGACAGATATCGATAGAGGCTTGATGCTTGATCTGATGGAGTGTCAGAACCCCGAGCACCCCACGAACACAGTTCTAAATCTCCACACTTTCGTTAAAAAAATCCTCTTGTTACACAAGTTGTGACGCAGAAGTCCCTCACGTAGCTACCTCAGTTTCCTCTATTTAACACAGATTACATCATAGTTTTGATGAAATACCAGACAAGTGCTTGAGTCAATCGGAATCAATCCAGTCTCACAGAGAAGCTATAAGTATTAAGTGTGCATGAATCTTTCACCGCATTTCTTCATTTCTTGAGAATTTTACAATGGTCACCACATTGCTTTTCTTGTCCTCTCCTAAACACAAGCGTGTTTGATTATTAATAAATTAAAGTGATAAACAAACAACTTGCAGTAGTCACTTCTGAAGAAAATAGGCTGATCTCGGCGAAAATCAGTTTGGTTTTCATCATGGTAGATCCACAAACGATACTGCATCAAGGTTAACATCCTTTGTGGTTTCAAACTTGGCCAAGTTTACTAGCTATATTGCAATTTTATTGATTTGGCAAAGGCCTTTGACATTGTCTTCATTACAATTCTTTTAAGAAAATTGGAAAGCAATAGAATTAAAGGGTTACCTCTAGCATGGTTTAAAAGTTATTTGATGGGATGGACCCAGTGTGTGAGGGTCGCAAACCATATAAGCAGCTCAATAAATTTTAGTTTTGGTGTTCCTTAGGGCAGTGTTTTGGGTCCTACCCTATTTAATATATCTTGGATGACATCCACAATCTGTCAATCCCAAACCCGAAGATGATTTGTTATGTGAATGACACTGCCATATTATTTCAAAGGCAACAACTGGGAAGAAGTGCAAACTAACGCAAAAATGGTATAATACGTGGTATAATATATACGTGGTAGAACCATGCTGCAGCTATATTAGTAGTATAGTTGTAGTACGAATGGGTTGGCTCGACCGGGAAGGACCATGCTCTCACAGAATACCAGAGTCAAATAGCAGCTTAACGCTGCTGTGTTTCGTATGGTGAGTGTAGAGAACCGGAGACCCTTTTTACTGGAAAAGAGGCATTCCATCTTAGTCCTGACGGGTGACAAAGCATCTGCATTTTGATTCGCAAACGAGGGTAAATGTAGATGTTTATGGGCCACAGCGACCACTTACCATCAGGTGGACTGTGTGCTCGATTGTCACCCTATACTATAAAAAAAAAATAATAGAAAATCTTTATATCTATAACTCTGGGAATTGGGACCCCACGATACAGGCATGCATAGTGTGCGGACCACGGCAATTCCAGTTGATTTGTAAATCTTTTTGGCTAATAAATAGTTTTTACTTTAAAAATATTATGTAGATGGAATGTTTCACAGCCTGTAACTATACTGGCTCTCTATACCCTTCAGACCGGAACACAGCAGTGCACACAATGCTGTTTGGTTGCAGATTATAACAGCGGTAAGAGGGTGGTACCTACCCAGATGGACTACTAGACGGAAAAGAAGTCCAATCGCCTAGTGTTTCTTTACCGCAAAAAAGCCAGTTTTCATGGATGTATCAGTGGAGTACTTCTGTTTCGTTTCAGTTATTGAAGATCGATATGTTATCGAACTTTGACTTTGGCGGTTTAATGAGTCCAGGGTCAAATCAGCTGCAAGGAAATTACATTTTTAAAACAACGTATCTGTACTTCCCTTATTATAGTAGTAATTATTATATTAGTAACTTAATATTTAGAAGAAATAATTTTGAAAATGTGGTTTTAAATTTGGAAGAGTTACATTGTTTAATTAAGAAGGATACACATTAATTGAATGATATATAACTTTCAAATAATATAAGATACGCGCGCGACCTGTAAGTTAATTGTACTATGCCTATAACCTTCGCGCAAGTCCAATCAATAAGTTGACAATGTTTTACCGCAATCTGATGAACGGTATGGCAGCACATAAAATACGAACAAACAAAAACTATTTTTAATATATAAGATATAAATGTTAATGGATGGCGGTAATCACATACCATCAGGTAAGCCGCATGCGCACATTAACAATTAGTAAATACAATATTGAAAGTGTTTCGTTGGTTTAATTTATTAAGCCCGTGTATCAGGATTTTATCCACTTGGGCAGCTTGACATACTTCACAATGTGACACATAGAACATAATACATTTTGTACAACAAAATTATTTTAAAGTGAAATTAATATGTTTAAAAAAAAAGCCCCGCTAGGTTTCTAGCTGGTTCTTCCCAGGACAGAGGTATTTTTCAAACCAGTGGTAAATAAAAAATCACTTTCAATAAGTATTATGTAATAATCTATTTTAAATTAAAATTATGCTATTCTATTCTGTACGCCCAGGCTGTACAGTATAAGACTTTTGCTTGCTTTAATTGGAAAATCGTAACAACCTCAACAATATTTTTAACTCTCTGACTCAGTGATGCCAAGTTTGGCAATTTTTCGCCTTTTATGTTTATTGCGCTAGCACTTCTTACTAGTTTGTGGTTTATTGTTATATAGTTTTATGTTATATTTATATTTATCTTAAAGGGTGTTGGGGCGACCGAAAATTGCGATTGGCTACTGGTCGCAATTTAGGCTACTTCGGAAAAAAGGGCGATTTTAAGCTATATAATTCTCTCCCTTATAATATAGATATACAACATGTAACAAAAACCCTGTGGTTGCCGTTAAGTACGTTATCAGGATCAGTATTCTAACCTATAGAAATAACTTTTATTTAAAAAGTGGACCATATCTATTTTTTTTAATTTTATTTAAAATTTGATTTTGTTTTAATTTTAGGTGATTTTATTACCTCATACTGACACTAGGCGATGCTAAAGCTTAGTAAAGCGGGGTCTTTGACAATCCTCTTACTCCCCAGACAATGTAGAGGTAATAAAACCACATACAATTTGCATACAATTTTTTTTTAATAAAATAAAAAATGATCCTGATAACGTACTTAACGCAAGCCACAGGGTTTTTGTTACATATTGTATAATAAAAATATGCGTAATGAAACATATGTTTTTGACACAGAGAAATATCAAGGAAGACTAGATTTTAAGGTATCAATTACCTAAAAAAGAGGGAAGGACTTTTATAGCATCGATGTAAATATCTATATTTGAGGTGGAAAGAGGGGAGGGAGAGCGGTGGAGATCCACCCTCACATGGGAAATGGTTAGCAAATGCATAATTTTTCTTTATGATTTTCTTTTTAAAATTGGAATTTGAAGTTATGTTTTCGTAATGTTTTTGATAGTATATATACATCTGATTTATGGGGGAGAGTTAGGGGGAGGGATAGCGCGCCACCCTATGCCACTCAACGTGTCGCAGTCAGCTTCTTATTTGCAAAATAAAAACGCATAATTAAAACTCCCTAAAATAGCAACACCTGTTGTCAAAATGACGTCAAAAACTCTAGATGCCAGGCCATAAACTCCAAAAAAAAAATGACGTCAAAAACAATAAAACAGTACGAAATTTAAGGGTTATTTAGCAAAGTTCGATATTTATTGTTTCAGAAAGTATTTTCCTAAGTCTGAAACTTCGTGAGATTGGTCAAGGTAATAAGTTATGTATATGTACCTATTTGAATTATATACACATATAAGCCCACAAAGTATATATATGTTTATAATTCGTTAATCTCTTTAATTGTAAGTAAAATATTTCATTTCAGTTTTGTGAAATATTAATAATGATAAACACATAAAACACATATTTTAAATGTTGATCTTTTCTTTCACGTATAAGATAAGCTGCTTCAAATTTTGTCTTGCTTAAATTATAAATAAGGTTAATTAAGGTAGGTCTACTTTTAAAAATAGCCTTTATAGACTACCTGATAATTTATCAGGCGATTTGAGGCTACATTACAGAGAAAACAAATTAGGCGAAATTAGACTACTTGACGACAAATTTTTGACGACTCGGACCAGTCTAGACTTGGCAACACTGCTCTGGTGCTCTGACTGTCAATTTGACAGTCAGACTGTCACTGTCATTGTCTGGCCTCGAAGCCTCAAACAAAAAAAAAAATTGAAAATACTATAATATGGGACGATTTATTAGTACTTTGGGAGTTGCTAGGAATATCGTTGCAATAATTAAATATATCTTAATTTAAACTGCATATGATAAACTTGCAAGCTATCAGTTGAAAAATACCTAATGCCTAAAGCATAAATTTATTTATTTCGCTATGGTGTATCCAAAGAAAACATCGGCGGAGTGGTTTATTGACCAACTAAATGTTGAAAATGCAAAATTAGTAGCTTTTGTTTTAGTACTAGGCTTCATTGGCTACCACGGAATATTACATCTACGATATGGTGAGTCTTTTGTTTATTATAGAGTTATTAATTATTAATAGTGTTTAAATAATATTTATAATATGCTTAGTAAAATGCCATCAGTTTAGTTTTTACATTATCGTATACACCGTTCCGATCGCTAATTCTTATTTAGCCAGTAATTTAATATTATTTTTCTAAATCTTTAGGGCCTGATTCCTGTACTTGGTTGCTGACATCGGGTCGTTATAAAGGTGATCATGAGTGGCAGCCCTATGGTTGTATGTTGCATAAATACTCTAAAACGTAAGTAGTTTCTTGTTTTATTTTTTGATTATCAATTTAGCAGTCCCGCATGGAACAAGTATTTGTACGGTCATGGTAAATTTTCATCATACACACTTAAATAAGCAATATTTTGTGTAATATAAATTTGTATTTATTTTAAAATATAGCAGATGACATTACAACAAAACTAAAACTTCTATTGGTAGACATCCATAAGCACAAATAGTATACATGCACATTTTTATCAAGCAAGGTGTTCTGCAAATTGGAACTTAGTTAAGTTTAAGTAAAATGGGTTGGCACTGTTATAAGTAAATAAAAAAGTATTTTAATAGGAAATTACATTACAGTACTTTATTTTGAGATGTTAATCAAAAAGTTACATCATTATGGAATAACAAGTGGTAAAATTAAACATATTGTACAACTGACTTTAATATAAATTATTAAGGATTACTCAAAAACTTCACAAATTTAAAAAGCACCAGCTTGGTATAGATATAGACACTTGGAAAGCACATGTTCATAGAGTGAGATCTAAACATTCAAGCTTTTCATATGCATTACGCGAAATTAAAAAAACTACCAACATAGAAACGGCAATAACAACCTACTCTATGAATGCACACTTGAATGAGATACGGCATAATTTTGTGGGGCAACAGCATGGACGCAGCCTCTCTATTCACACTTCAAAAGAAATTAATCCGGATTATAGCAAATATAGATCAGACTGATAGTTGCAGACCGTTCTTTCTTAAATATAAAATATTAACTTTACCCAGCTTATATATATTGGAGATGTGTAAATTTGTTCGAAAAAATAAGCAATTTTATACAAAACGTGAAGATTTGCCATGCAAATGCATGTTACGACACAAAAATAAATTAGTATTGCCAATTTCCCGATGAAAACTAAATAGTTCTAGTACATTAAGTTCTTCCATAAAGTTATATAATAAACTACCTGACATATTAAAAAATGAAAATACTGACATCATATTTACATAAAAATTAAAGCAGTACCTAACTAATAAATGTTACTATAGTACTAATGAATATTTTAGAAATAATACTTATATAGGTTTTACAAAATCATCACTTATTTAAATTGAATTCTATCTCAATAAATCACAATGACATTCTTATAAGTAGTTAAATACGCTTCCTCTCTCCTAGCCCCTAAATTGCATGCCCAACAGGGTCCATAGCACTGGTCTCACATTATTTTATAACTTCTTGTGTACATTATGGATTAGCAATAAATGTTTGAATTTGAGTTTAAAAAAGAATCATCGAAATCGGTTCACCTAGAAAACAGTTATGAGGTAATATACACTAAAAAAAACATAGTCGAATTGAGTACCTCTTCATTTTTGAAGTCGGTTAAAATACATAGCACTTAAACTTCATCATTACAGCCTTTTATAAGTCCACTCCTGAACATAGGCCTCCCCCAAGGAATGCCACAAATCACGGTCCTGAGTCTTGGGCCGTTGGGCTATGTCATTACTCTGGTTCTACTGTCGATATCCCCATTTCTAAGTTTAACACCCCGAGCATATCCCTCTCAATAGATCACTAAGCGACCTTGAGCTTCCTCATACGGCCAGCAGTGAAGGACCACGTTTCAGATCCGTAAGTCATCACTGCAACATGCGCTGGTTGTACAATTTCGTTTTCAGGTATATCTAACAAGAAGATGTGTCGTAGTTTCCCAAACGATGCACAGCCGAGTTGAATTAAATTATTTTATTCTATTCTATAATTTCCTCTCATGGTCGGAAGTTGAAGTTCATAATTTTTTCCATTATTGTAACTAGTTATCTTTTTATCTATTTATTTAAAAATGCCTTATCACCAATATAGCCTACTCCCGTTATAAAGAGGGTTTTGCCATTGCCTCGCCTGGCAGGCTGATTGAAAATCACAGTACAAGACATGTGATGTATGAAGAGTGCATGAACAGCCAAGTTGCCCTAATGCAATGGACAACAAAAATAATGCGTTTTTTGGCAGTCATGTACGATTCCTCACAATGTTTTCCTTCACGCTGAGCAACTAAATCAACGCTTAAAATTGTAATAATAATTTTATTGATGCATGTGAGAATTGAGCTTGATTTGCTTGAATTAAGTGGGTGAGTGAGTGAGTGACGCCGGAGTGCTCAACCCCTGAGACTTTGCCCTGAGGTGTTATTATTACGTTGTTATAGCGATGCGAGAAGATGCTTGCGATATTTGGCGTTTTGGGGCAAATACAACAGTTTCGCTTTTATCGGCGATTCACGACTTGAGCAGCTATACGAGTATTTTATTGGTGAGTAAAATTTTATGACATGTTACATAACTTTCGTGTCAATGCTGACTTTAACTACTATTCGTGCCTTTGCGATAGCGTGTCTACTGTCTATTATATAATTGGCAGCAATATTAGTATTATGTTAAGCCTAAGATTTGAATGATTATTGGGCAAATATTCAAATGCTACTCAATTTTAAGACATTGTTAGGTCTTGTGTTGTCACAGTCACTTTGACTTACAGTGATAGAGACAGCACAACGGGCATCTTAAAATTAAGCAGCATTTGAGTATTTTTTTTTTATAGGATAAGGGTGACAAACGAGCACACAGTCCACCTGATGGTAAGTGGTTGCTGCGGCCCATAGACATCTACATCTATCCTCTGTTACAAATCAAAATGTAGATGCGTTGTCACCCGTGAGGACTAAGATGGAATGCCTCATTTCCAGTAAAAAGGGCCTCCGGCCACCTGCACTCACCAAGCGAAACGCAGAGGTAAACCTCTACTTCACGCTGGTTTTCTGTGAGGTCGTGGTACTACCCCGGTTCGAGCCGGCCCATCCGTGTGACAGCAAAATCTGCCGCGTGGCTCGACCACTGTGTATTATAGTATTTTGGCTTACATGTGTTAGAGCCGTACTGCAGCGATATTATGGTTGTAGCACGATTGGGTTGGCTTGACCAGAGAAGAACTACGCTCTCATAATATACCAGCGTAAAATAGCAGCTTAAAGCTGCTGTGTTTCGTATGATGAGTGTAGAGAACTGGAGACTCTTTCTACTGAAATGAGGAATTTGATCTTAGTATTCAGGGGAGACTACATATCTACATTTTGATTCTTAATCGATGATAGATGTACATGTCATGAGTCTCAGCATCCACATAACATCAGGTGGACTGTGTGCTCGTTTGACACCCTTATTCAATAAAAGAAAACCTACCCTACTATTGAAAATGTTTATGTCCACCATTGGACTATCATAAACTTATAATAGTGATGATGACCCTGAAATAAGAGACCGTAAATTATTTTTGTACCTATTTAAAAATATTTTTTATTATTATCACCACAAGGCACGGTCCTGAGCCACTGAGGAAATGTGTCTTAATCTCCCGAACGCTGCTCAACCGAGTTGAATCAGTCGATTGACCTCTCGCTCGAAGATAGACTTACCTAGTCGGATTATTTGTCCTAGATAAACATACTCATCGATAACTTCAATCGTAGTGCTCCCAACATAGTTGTGATATGGATGTTACACATGAGCATGACCTTTGTTTTGTCCATGTTCATTTATGACCTATCCGTTGGATATTATATAATATTGATCATAGCTGTTCTCTGAGCTCGTCTAGCGATTCTGCCATAAGGATTATCATCGGCAAATCAAAGGTGAATGATGTACTCGCCCTTGATGCTTATACCATATCGTTTCTAGTCTAGTAGCTTGGAAAAGTGTTCCAAAGCAGCGGTGAAGAGTTTCGGGGATATAACGTCACCCTGTCCTACACCTCTTTGCAGATGAATGGGTTTCGTACTCTGGTTCTGTATTCGGATAGTCATCGTAACCCTACTGTACAAACACTTCAGCACTTCGATATACCGACAGTCAGCACCGCTGAAGGGACTTTAGCACCACCTTAATTTCAACGGAATCAAAGACTTTCTCATAGTCCAAATACGCAAGACAAAGTGGCATACGAGGGCGGCACTGAAAATTTCGGGAATCAAGGAAGTGACACAACATTACTATTTAAAAAGGTATTTATTGCTTTTCGAAGTATTCTCCGCGAAATTTGACACATTTTTCCATACGATGGAACCAATCATTGAAGCAACCATTCCATTCGGAAGTTGGGGTCTCCAAAATAGCCGTTTTGTAGGCGTCCTGAGCTTCTTCAGGTGATGAAAATCTCTGTCCACGCAATTTATTCTTTATTTTAGGGAAAGTATAGTAATCATTAGGGCTCTTAGGTTGGGGATGTATGGCGGATGGTCTAATAATTCTATGTTTTCTTGCTCTAAAAACTCTTTTGTTCTGTGTGCGGTGTGAGAACTCGCATTGTCGTGATGGAGGTTGATGCGGCGGTTGCAGTTCTCTTTACGGAGTTCAGAAACGACCTGTGGCAAACAAATGCTAGCATACCATTCTGCATTAACCGTTCTTTGTCCCTCAAGAGGAATAGTCGTAACATGGCCGGTTTTGGAGACAAACGTGGCCACCATTTTTTTTGCAACACTCCGTGAACGAACAATTTTTGTTGGCTTTAACTCATTTTCGAACACCCAAACTCGTGACTGGTTTTTTGTTTCGGGTTCGTACGCGTATATCCATGATTCGTCACCTGATACGATGTTGTATACAGCATTTGAGGATCCTGCATGGAATCTTTCGAGAGTTCTGACGCACCAAGTAACGCGAGCCGCTTTTTGCTCTTCACAGAGCGTATGCGGTATCCATCGGGAAAACAACTTTTTTACACCTAATTTGTCCATGCAAGATTATTTGTATTTGACTCATGCCAATGTCTAAAGTTGCCTGAATTTCGCGGTATGTCACATGTCGATCTTCCTCAATCAGCTTACGCACAGCATCAACGTTTTCTTGGGTGACTGCAGTTTTTGGACGACCTTGACGGGGATCATCACTGAGCTTGACACGTCCACGTTGAAATTCAGCAAACCAGCGATAAATTGTGGTTTTGGATGGGGCTTCATCACCAAATGCAGAAATCATCCGGTCAACACACTGTTTTTGTGTTAAACCACTTCGAAAGTCATAATAAATCATCGCTCTTGAATTTTCTCGAGTCAATTCCATTTTCTCAACGACTAAACAAGTTTGATAAAACCTTGTGGCAAGACCGAGAATCTTTTTTTAAATAAGTAAATGGTATTCGATTTTTAAAACCAAGGAGTTTTCAATTAAAAAAATTTTAATATGACAGGAACAGTGGAAATATTCTATTCCCGATACTTTTAGTGCAGCCCTCGTATTGTGCTCTTCGGTCTTAATATGTACAATTTGCCGAAGGGTATATATGTGATCTTTAAATGGTGTAAAATATCTTATGTGGTCGGGCCATATTACAGCTATATTGTGATTGTAACACGAATGGGTCGTCTCGACCGGGGAAGGACCGCGCACTCACAGAATACCAGTAGCAGCTTAATGCTGCTGTGTTTCGTGTGGTGAGTGTAGAGAACAGGAGACTCATTTTTACTGGATATGAGGCATTTTATCCAAGTCCTCAGTGGTGACAACGCATCTAGATTTTGTTTTTTAACCAAGAATAGACATGGATGTCTATGTCAATAACGGGTTGTTTGCCAGTCTCCATAACGGGTTTCCCTACCTTGAGCGGGTAGGTGTTTTTGCGTCAGATGGCAATCGGCAATAGACTAATAAACCCCAAAAGCCAAATCTTTAGAAAAGAAACATGGAGTTTAATCTATAAGACCATCATCAGACCAGTCCTATTGTATGGCAGTGAAACATGGGCCGTAACTCAAAAGAATGTGCATACCATGCAAGTTGCTGAGATGAAGATGCTGAGGTGGATGTGCGGCGTTACCAAGCGCGACAAAATCCGCAACGAGTACGTGCGAGGAAGCTTGGGCGTGCGCGACATCGCTGACAAGATGCAGGAAAGTAGGCTGCGATGGTATGGGCACGTGAAGAGGAGGCCACCCGACTACGTAGGGAACTTGGCACTACAACTCTCCATCCCAGGTCGAAGATCCAGGGGCAGACCCAAAACACGATGGAAAGATGTAGTGGTAAAGGACATGAGAGAGTGCGAAGTCTCCGAAAATGAAGTCGAGGATAGAGCGAAGTGGAGGCGTAAGACAAGAAAGGCTGACCCCACCACCATGTGGGACACATAGCCAGGAAGAGAGAGAGAGTCTATGGGCCACAGTATCCACTTACTGTCAGGTGGTCTGTGTGTTATTTTGTCACCCTTATTGTACAAAATTAATATACACGTACAAAATTAATATTTTAATAGCTGATGTTATAATGGTAACTTAAGCCATTTTTATTTTAGAAAAAGAATTAGGGTTCCGTGCAAACAAAAATATTGTACCTTTGAACAGTTAAAAATTATATTGACCATCTTTAAAACACTACACAGATGAGATCGAGATAATAGGAAACACTTTATACTGAACTATCTGTTCCCCGCGGTATCACCCGCGTATATCATGCCTTAGCCGCGTGACAGGACACCTCGCTTATTAGAGGCGTTCACTGCTGGTTTCTCTTGGTTCTCATCGGGTGGCTAGAAGTCTTTCGCGCGCTGTGCCGAGTGTTGAATTATTAAAATTTTTCGTTTTCTCTTAAACTATGCGTCCAAATGACGTACTATAAAGAGCAAAGTTTATCTTCATAAAGTTGTCTTGATGATGAAGTAGTCTCTTTTTCGTTTCATTGAGATTTATATCACAAAAATGCTAAAGAAATTTTCACCTTAAAAAAATTGCGGTTGCCAAGCTCCTAGCCAAGCATGGCAACTATGGTAAATAACTTTCTTATGAGGCTACCTATGGGTGAGTCTTATGTTTAGCCGTAGGATTTTGATAGGCTGTATAGAAGAATGATGATAAAAAATATACTTTAATTACAGGTGTACTCAGAACAAGGTCAGACATGGACTCGTCATACACCACCAAAGACCATCGCATGCCGAATTACACTTACGTCGACAGCAAATTGAAACTTTCAGTCACTTTCATATGGAGTAACGACGTCTCGAAGACGATGGTCGATCAGTTTCGTGCCTGGTGAGTTACACTATGTACTGGCAGGGTTTACAGAAATAGATAGGCAGGTGCAAGAACATTGACTATGAAAGTGGATGGATATAAGAGTAGAGGGAGACCTAAGAAAAGATTGATGGACTGTATTAGGGATGATAGGCGTAGGAGAAGTGTACGTGAAGAGAAGATGGCTAATAGAGGAGGCATGCTATACCAACCCCAAATAACTTGGGAAGGGGCAAGAAAGAGAATGCCTGGAACTTTTTTACTTTAGGACGTACAGAATTTTTTCCTATTTCTTCGTTGTCAATCACTTGATAAGTCACAACATTTTTGCCGGTCTAATGGGTATAGAATGCTAGTATAACGACAGACTGTGTGGTATTCCATCTTAGTCTGCAAATGTGACAACGCATCTGTAGTCTTTCTTTGTTCAAAGTCAGTCAAAGCCACTTATCACTATCTAAGTACGTTTTCCACTTCAGTTTTATAAAAAATAAACATGTTAAGTTCTTCAACAACTGCTCTCGCTTCGACCCTGTTGTCGACTGACCCGTAATGCTTTTGGCTTACGATAACAAAACCCAACAAATGGGAAATGATGGTTGATAATACTACAACACCATAATGTTTTCCACATCTTTTTCATAAGACCGAAATTGTTCACTACAATTGTCCGCCTATATTTTAGAGATAATTTGCTATCTTAGCCACGCGTACCAGACGTTTTGCAATTTAAGATGTGTGGCATTTGTTTTAACGTTATTTTATCATTTACACCCCTGAGGTGCTAGGTGCTTGCGTGCGAATGTGCATGCAAGCTTACGTGCATGTGTGCGTGTGTTCGTGCGTGCACACGTAAATCCGCGTGAGAGTGCGTGTGTGGCTGTGTGACACACACAGCGAGAGAATTCTAGAGAAAAATAATTTATATCCTTATTTACAAACTTCAACACCAAGGGTTTATATTTTAGGGATCATTATTCTTTACAGGGAACGATCTGACAGACCTCCTTCAGTAATAGTAGCGAGCACTGGTCTCCAACTAGTAAAAAACCGTAACGCAACGGACTTAGTACTGGAGGAATACAAAAGGAACCTTACGCGGTTGGTACAACCGATAGATTCGCTTGCGGCGCGAAATACACAAGTGTTGTGGAAACTTCTCGAATCAGTGGACCCTTCGATGGCGAAAGATGACATGACTATAAATAACCATGATATTGATGCCTATAACAGTGCTGCAATGGAGGTAAGTGCTTACATTCCTTAAAAAAATTGAAGTGACCAACGAACTCTTAGTCTACCTCAGGGTAAGTGGCTAAGTGACTACTGCAGCCCATAGATACCTGCAACCAACTGTAAATAAAGAAGTCTACAGATGCGTTGTCACCTCTGAGGACTAAGATGGAAGGCCTCACACCCTGAAATTATACTGGATCATCTGACTCTTTATACTCTTCAGGATGGACCACAGCAGTGCACGCATTGGTGGGCGATTTAAATTCGTTATCGGGTTGTAGCTACCCAGACTGATTCGTAGACAAAAAAGAGCCCTATCATAGTCATATGTTGAAATATTTCCTATTTTAATTAGTTTAAAAATGTTTTTCTTCATACTTGTATAATATTTGGAATTTTTTTTTGAGTGACGTGTAAAGAGAGTAAACGTGATAATGAGAGTTAAAGAAAGCGAAAAGGTGGGAAGAAGAACCAGATATAGTATCCCGCGGCACAGCGCGGTGCGTGTGTGGGGCGCGGCGTGGCTGGTGGCGGGTTGTATTGAATGAATGAATGAATTGTTGTTGTTGTTGTGCGGGTAGATCTTGCGACACAGCGCAGTGCGCATGTGGGGCGCGGCGCGGCTGGTAGCGGGCTGTATTGAATGAATGAATGAATTGTTGTTGTTGTTGTGCGGGTAGATCTTGCGACACGGCGCAGTGCGCGTGTGGGGCGCGGCGCAGCTGGTGGCGGGCTGTATTGAATGAATGAATGAATTGTTGTTGTTGTTGTGCGGGTAGATCTTGCGACACAGCGCAGTGCGCGTGTGGGGCGCGGCGCGGCTGGTGGCGGGCTGTATTGAATGAATGAATGAATTGTTGTTGTTGTTGTGCGGGTATATCCTGCGGCACAGCGTGGTGCGCGTGTGGGGCGCGGCGTGGCTGGTGGCGGGCTGTATTGAATGAATGAATGAATTGTTGTTGTTGTTGTGCGGGTAGATCTTGCGACACAGTGCAGTGCGCGTGTGGGGCGCGGCGCGGCTGGTGGTGGGCTGTATTGAATGAATGAATGAATTGTTGTTGTTGTTATGCGGGTATATCCTGCGGCACAGCGCGGTGCGCGTGTGGGGCGCGGCGTGGCTGGTGGCGGGCTGTATTGAATGAATGAATGAATTGTTGTTGTTGTTGTTCGGGTAGATCTTGCGACACAGTGCAGTGCGCGTGTGGGGCGCGGCGAGGCTGGTGGCGGGCTGTATTGAATGAATGAATGAATTGTTGTTGTTGTTGTGCGGGTAGATTCTGCGGCACAGCGCGGTGCGCGTGTGGGGCGCGGCATGGCTGGTGACGGGCTGTATTGAATGAATGAATGAATTGTTGTTGTTGTTGTGCGGGTAGATTCTGCGGCACAGCGCAGTGCGCGTGTGGGGCGCGGCGCGGCTGGTGGCGGGCTGTATTGAATGAATGAATGAATTGTTGTTGTTGTTGTGCGGGTATATCCTGCGGCACAGCGTGGTGCGCGTGTGGGGCGCGGCGTGGCTGGTGGCGGGCTGTATTGAATGAATGAATGAATTGTTGTTGTTGTTGTGCGGGTAGATCTTGCGACACAGTGCAGTGCGCGTGTGAGGCGCGGCGCGGCTGGTGGTGGGCTGTATTGAATGAATGAATGAATTGTTGTTGTTGTTATGCGGGTATATCCTGCGGCACAGCGCGGTGCGCGTGTGGGGCGCGGCGTGGCTGGTGGCGGGCTGTATTGAATGAATGAATGAATTGTTGTTGTTCGGGTAGATCCTGCGGCACAGCGCGGTGCGCGTGTAGGGCGCGGCACGGCTGGTGGTGGGCTGTATTGAATGAATGAATGAATTGTTGTTGTTGTTGTGCGGGTAGATCTTGCGACAGCGCAGTGCGCGTGTGGGGCGCGGCGCGGCTGGTGGCGGGCTGTATTGAATGAATGAATGAATTGTTGTTGTTCGGGTAGATCCTGCGGCACAGCGCGGTGCGCGTGTGGGGCGCGGCACGGCTGGTGGTGGGCTGTATTGAATGAATGAATGAATTGTTGTTGTTGTTGTGCGGGTAGATCTTGCGACAACGCAGTGCGCGTGTGGGGCGCGGCGCGGCTGGTGGCGGGCTGTATTGAATGAATGAATGAATTGTTGTTGTTGTTGTGCGGGTAGATTCTACGGCACAGCGCGGTGCGCGTGTGGGGCGCGGCGCGGCTGGTGGCGGGCTGTATTGAATGAATGAATGAATTGTTGTTGTTGTTGTGCGGGTAGATTCTGCGGCACAGCGCGGTGCGCGTGTGGGGCGCGGCATGGCTGGTGACGGGCTGTATTGAATGAATGAATGAATTGTTGTTGTTGTTGTGCGGGTAGATTCTGCGGCACGTGTGGGGCGCGGCGAGGCTGGTGGCGGGCTGTATTGAATGAATGAATGAATTGTTGTTGTTGTTGTGCGGGTAGATTCTGCGGCACAGCGCGGTGCGCGTGTGGGGCGCGGCATGGCTGGTGACGGGCTGTATTGAATGAATGAATGAATTGTTGTTGTTGTTGTGCGGGTAGATTCTGCGGCACAGCGCGGTGCGCGTGTGGGGCGCGGCATGGCTGGTGACGGGCTGTATTGAATGAATGAATGAATTGTTGTTGTTGTTGTGCGGGTAGATTCTGCGACACAGCGCGGTGCGCGTGTGGGGCGCGGCGCGGCTGGTGACGGGCTGTATTGAATGAATGAATGAATTGTTGTTGTTGTTGTGCGGGTAGATTCTGCGGCACAGCGCGGTGCGCGTGTGGGGCGCGGCATGGCTGGTGACGGGCTGTATTGAATGAATGAATGAATTGTTGTTGTTGTTGTGCGGGTAGATTCTGCGGCACAGCGCGGTGCGCGTGTGGGGCGCGGCGCGGCTGGTGACGGGCTGTATTGAATGAATGAATGAATTGTTGTTGTTGTTGTGCGGGTAGATTCTGCGGCACAGCGCGGTGCGCGTGTGGGGCGCGGCATGGCTGGTGACGGGCTGTATTGAATGAATGAATGAATTGTTGTTGTTGTTGTGCGGGTAGATTCTGCGGCACAGCGCGGTGCGCGTGTGGGGCGCGGCATGGCTGGTGACGGGCTGTATTGAATGAATGAATGAATTGTTGTTGTTGTTGTGCGGGTAGATTCTGCGGCACAGCGCGGTGCGCGTGTGGGGCGCGGCATGGCTGGTGACGGGCTGTATTGAATGAATGAATGAATTGTTGTTGTTGTTGTGCGGGTAGATTCTGCGGCACAGCGCGGTGCGCGTGTGGGGCGCGGCGCGGCTGGTGACGGGCTGTATTGAATGAATGAATGAATTGTTGTTGTTGTTGTGCGGGTAGATTCCTCGGCACAGCGCGGTGCGCGTGTGGGGCGCGGCATGGCTGGTGACGGGCTGTATTGAATGAATGAATGAATTGTTGTTGTTGTTGTGCGGGTAGATTCTGCGGCACAGCGCGGTGCGCGTGTGGGGCGCGGCATGGCTGGTGACGGGCTGTATTGAATGAATGAATGAATTGTTGTTGTTGTTGTGCGGGTAGATTCTGCGGCACAGCGCGGTGCGCGTGTGGGGCGCGGCGCGGCTGGTGACGGGTTGTATTGAATGAATGAATGAATTGTTGTTGTTGTTGTGCGGGTAGATTCTGCGGCACAGCGCGGTGCGCGTGTGGGGCGCGGCATGGCTGGTGACGGGCTGTATTGAATGAATGAATGAATTGTTGTTGTTGTTGTGCGGGTAGATTCTGCGGCACAGCGCGGTGCGCGTGTGGGGCGCGGCGCGGCTGGTGACGGGCTGTATTGAATGAATGAATGAATTGTTGTTGTTGTTGTGCGGGTAGATTCTGCGGCACAGCGCGGTGCGCGTGTGGGGCGCGGCGCGGCTGGTGACGGGCTGTATTGAATGAATGAATGAATTGTTGTTGTTGTTGTGCGGGTAGATTCTGCGGCACAGCGCGGTGCGCGTGTGGGGCGCGGCATGGCTGGTGACGGGCTGTATTGAATGAATGAATGAATTGTTGTTGTTGTTGTGCGGGTAGATCCTGCGGCACAGCGCGGTGCGCGTGTGGGGCGCGGCATGGCTGGTGACGGGCTGTATTGAATGAATGAATGAATTGTTGTTGTTGTTGTGCGGGTAGATTCTGCGGCACAGCGCGGTGCGCGTGTGGGGCGCGGCATGGCTGGTGACGGGCTGTATTGAATGAATGAATGAATTGTTGTTGTTGTTGTGCGGGTAGATTCTGCGGCACAGCGCGGTGCGCGTGTGGGGCGCGGCGCGGCTGGTGACGGGCTGTATTGAATGAATGAATGAATTGTTGTTGTTGTTGTGCGGGTAGATTCTGCGGCACAGCGCGGTGCGCGTGTGGGGCGCGGCATGGCTGGTGACGGGCTGTATTGAATGAATGAATGAATTGTTGTTGTTGTTGTGCGGGTAGATTCTGCGGCACAGCGCGGTGCGCGTGTGGGGCGCGGCGCGGCTGGTGACGGGCTGTATTGAATGAATGAATGAATTGTTGTTGTTGTTGTGCGGGTAGATTCCTCGGCACAGCGCGGTGCGCGTGTGGGGCGCGGCGCGGCTGGTGACGGGCTGTATTGAATGAATGAATGAATTGTTGTTGTTGTTGCGCGGGTAGATTCTGCGGCACAGCGCGGTGCGCGTGTGGGGCGCGGCGCGGCTGGTGACGGGCTGTATTGAATGAATGAATGAATTGTTGTTGTTGTTGCGCGGGTAGATTCTGCGGCACAGCGCGGTGCGCGTGTGGGGCGCGGCGCGGCTGGTGACGGGCTGTATTGAATGAATGAATGAATTGTTGTTGTTGTTGTGCGGGTAGATTCTGCGGCACAGCGCGGTGCGCGTGTGGGGCGCGGCATGGCTGGTGACGGGCTGTATTGAATGAATGAATGAATTGTTGTTGTTGTTGTGCGGGTAGATTCTGCGGCACAGCGCGGTGCGCGTGTGGGGCGCGGCATGGCTGGTGACGGGCTGTATTGAATGAATGAATGAATTGTTGTTGTTGTTGTGCGGGTAGATTCTGCGGCACAGCGCGGTGCGCGTGTGGGGCGCGGCATGGCTGGTGACGGGCTGTATTGAATGAATGAATGAATTGTTGTTGTTGTTGTGCGGGTAGATTCTGCGGCACAGCGCGGTGCGCGTGTGGGGCGCGGCATGGCTGGTGACGGGCTGTATTGAATGAATGAATGAATTGTTGTTGTTGTTGTGCGGGTAGATTCTGCGGCACAGCGCGGTGCGCGTGTGGGGCGCGGCGCGGCTGGTGACAGGCTGTATTGAATGAATGAATGAATTGTTGTTGTTGTTGTGCGGGTAGATTCTGCGGCACAGCGCGGTGCGCGTGTGGGGCGCGGCGCGGCTGGTGACGGGCTGTATTGAATGAATGAATGAATTGTTGTTGTTGTTGTGCGGGTAGATTCTGCGGCACAGCGCGGTGCGCGTGTGGGGCGCGGCATGGCTGGTGACGGGCTGTATTGAATGAATGAATGAATTGTTGTTGTTGTTGTGGGGGTAGATTCTGCGGCACAGCGCGGTGCGCGTGTGGGGCGCGGCATGGCTGGTGACGGGCTGTATTGAATGAATGAATGAATTGTTGTTGTTGTTGTGCGGGTAGATTCTGCGGCACAGCGCGGTGCGCGTGTGGGGCGCGGCATGGCTGGTGACGGGCTGTATTGAATGAATGAATGAATTGTTGTTGTTGTTGTGCGGGTAGATTCTGCGGCACAGCGCGGTGCGCGTGTGGGGCGCGGCGCGGCTGGTGACGGGCTGTATTGAATGAATGAATGAATTGTTGTTGTTGTTGTGCGGGTAGATTCTGCGGCACAGCGCGGTGCGCGTGTGGGGCGCGGCGCGGTTGGTGGCGGGCGGCGGCGCGAGCGCGGCGCTGCGCCACTGCGCGCAAATTTTGCTCAATATGTTTTGCAACGATCACATGAACTTTAACGACGGGTCCTGCTGCGCGCAGCCGGAGCCCTACACCCAACTGCAGATGCTTACCTTCGCACTCTTCCTGCTCTGGTGAGCCCCTCCTTTTATTTTCAACTTCGCTCGCTCACTTATATTATACCTATATTATATGATCTTTCCTATGGCTTCGACTGTGCACCATGAGACAAGAATCAGAAAGCTACAGCACTTGAAACTATCAATAACATAGCGCTGAAAGTTATGTTTCAAATTTAAAAAATTATTCGCAGAAAGTTCATATCAATGGTTAAAGTTCTTACGGGGACTTGTACTTATGAGTGTTCCTTAGGGCTCAATTCTTGGCCCATTCCTATTTATAGCCTATTTATAAGTATATATCATTAATACCTTCTTATTTTTAAACATTATTAGCATTATTAGCGGCAATTATTTAAATACGGCAAAGTGAATAATACTATATCAAAATTAGTGCATTTCTTTAAGGTTAATAATCTATATTTAAACGACAATAAAACTATATGTATAATATTTACAATATCTAATGTTAAAAATCTGAATAACAATGTGTTTTTAAATGGGAAAGTATTGACGCCTAATGTTTCCACTGTTCTTCTTGGCATAACTCTCGACGCAATGTTTCTTTGGGATCCCTATATATCTAAATTAGCAAGTAGACTAAGCTCTTAGCCTATGTTGTAAAAAAATTAGAAGTCTCGCTAGTGTTGAGCCAGCTAGATTAGCTTATTTCATTTTTTATATATGGTCACAAAAACAAAAGGAGTTTTAATAAAAAAAGTGATATACACTATGTAAAGATCAGGTACAAACACAAGCTAGTGATACCACTTTCTCGGCTCCACAGTCTATTTCATTCATGGGGCAATGTATACGTTATTACATCGAAGTCCCAGATAAAACGAGTATACAAGATCTTTCTATTAGGTCCTTACATATGAAATTAGCGTTTTGTCGTACTGACCACTTTGATCTGAAATATCTCCTCTTTGGTTAAGAATTCCAAATTCAAATTTATAAATTCATTTAGCTGGTACATTTGAGTTTTTAAAACTCAAATGTACCAGCTTTCCTCATTTTTCCTCATTATTTTTTTCTTTGGCGTCGCTTATTACCGCATAATTGAAAACATGAAATATCGGTATATTTACGAGTACGAGTTCTACCGTGGCACCAGTGCTGCGGAAACAGCTCGAAGGATTAATGATGTTTACGGCGCTGGTGTAAAAGAAAGCACGGTGCGTTTTTGGTTTCAACGTTTTCGTTCTGGAAATTTCGACCTTGAGAACCAATCCCGTGGACGGCCGTAGACCAAAGTGGAAAGTGAAGAATTAAAGGCTATTAAGGAAGCGGATCCATCACAAAGCACTTCAGAGATAGCTACAGGCTTCGGGGTAAGTGATAAAACTGTATTAATCCACTTGAAGCAAATCGGGAAAGTAAAAAAAACTTGAACGATTGGTACCTCATGAATTGAGTGAATCGAACTTGCAAACACGCATTGACTGCTGGGTCACTGGTCAACCGACACAATAATGAAGGGATTTTAAATCGAATCATTACTTGTGATGAAAAGTGGATACTGTACGATATTCAGCAATGGCTGAACCCTGGAGATTAAACGAAAATTGACTCAGAAAAAGTTACTTGTGAGTGTTTGATGGACTAGCGCCGGTGTCGTTCACTACAGCTTTCTAAAATCTGGCCAAACGATTACGGCAGATTGTCAGCAACTGCAAACCATGAAGGAAGAACTAGCTGCTAAACAACCGAGATTGGTCAATTGCTCTAGGCCACTGCTGCTTCAGGACAACACAAGACCACACACTGCACAACAAACAACCACTAAGTCAGATGAGCTACAATTGGAATGTCTGCGACATCCTCCGTACTCCGCGGACCTTGCTCCAACAGATTACCATTTTTTCCGGAATTTGGACAACTTTTTACAAGGAAAAAAATTCAACTCCGATGCGGCAGTCCAAACTGCCTTCAAAGACTATTGATTCTCGCCCCCATGGTTTTTTTAGTAAAGGGATCAATGAACTACCTATGAGATGGCAAAAGTGCATAGAACGGTGCATACTTTGATTAATTCAATTTATTTTACAAAAAAAAATTGACTTTATATTCCTCCCGTACAAAACGCCAATTTCATATGTACCTTACCTAATATTAACAAGTTCAAATATTTTATTAAAAAAAAAAAACTATGAAAAACGGTTTTTTATAACAAATGATACGTGGTTGGTAATAATCCCTGGGAATAAGGTGGTTGTTGTCAAGCTATTTTGTAATTAGTTTGTACAACTTACTTTTGTATAATTTTATTTTGCAAAATAAATTCCCTCTCGGTTTCTTGCTGGTTCCTCCTTGGACATTATTTTCCGAACTAAAATGACTTTTAATCAGAATTACTTGTAATCTATATTGAATAAAAAATATTGTATTCCACTATATTCTAATGTTCGGTGGGAGAATATTATTACCATTAATGTAAGTTGCTGCCCTTGAAAAACGAAGTGATTTTCGATTTTTCATTAGGATTTATTTTTTAGTTTAAAAGGCGACAAGCCATTACCGAATCAGGTTATAGTATATATAATATATTGCGACAATAAAATGTGACAGAAAATTTGTTCCTCTAGCGCAGTGCTAGCCGGTTTGAAGTGGGTTTGGCGCTGGTCCCAGACGATCAGACAGAAGATGGAGGGCTATTCGCTGGTGGTGCCGCAAACCAGCCCGGCTTCTCCCGTGGCAGCGCTTGCCAAGCTCGGCATGATTATGGCGTACTTCTATCTCTGCGATAGAACCAACTTCTTCATGAAAGAGAACAAGTATTATTCGGAGTGGAGTTTCTGGTTGCCAGTTGGCTACGTCTTCGCTTTGGGATTGTTCTTTACCGATGATTCGAGATCGAGCAGGTAAGTTATACAAGGTGTTTGGGAGATAGGTACAAAGCCTGAAGGGTTGATACATTAAACCATTTAGAAAATATTAAGTTAAACTTGTCTTATACCAAGTCTGCTCCTTTATTTTAAATTGAATTTTTAAGGTTTTTAACCATAAAACCCATTTTTTTCAATTAATTGCTAATAGTGTCCAGTAACAGTTGTTATGGTATTATTTTATTTTATTATATATTTATTTTTTATTTGTGTGTGATTACTCAAACAAAAAAAAAACAAACAAACAAAAATCATCAGAAAAACATTCTACGTATATATGTATGTATTTCTTTGTTGTACAACAACAGTCCGTCTGTTACATGCCGAAACCGATTGCGATGTCTGTAAACTCTTAGAGCTATTTTTTTTATAGGATAGGGTGACAAACGAGCACACAGTCCACCTGATGGTAAGTGGTTACTGTGACCCATAGACATCTACATTTATTCTCAATAAAGAATCAAAATGCAGATGCATCGTCACCCGTGAGGACTAAGATGGAATGCCTCTTTTCCAGTAAAATGGATCTCCGGTTCTCTCATCATTTCATCCGGATCGACATTCACCATACGAAACACAGCAGTGCCAAGCTGTCATCGTATTCTATGAGAACGTGGTCCTTCCCCGGTCGAGCCGACCTATTCGTGCCAAAACTATACTATTAATATAGCTGCTGCATGGCTCTACCACGTATTAATTTTTATGATTTAAAGATATTTGACAAGTAGAAATACTATTTTAATAATTACCTTTACCAAACAGTAACGAATGCCATATTGGGCTGGACCTAGGGGGGATATTTTACTTAAATCCTCTATAGGTTGTTCACGGTAATCTTCGGTGACTTTTTATTTTCTTTTTATTCTTTTCTTTTATTCTCTTTATTATTTTCTTGAGGTGGCATCGTTGCGTTCCGTGGGCGTGGTAAGAGGCGACTATGTGAAATGCAAGAAAGATCATATGGCCTCCGACAGATGGCGCTATAAATGATCATCTCGTTTATATCGCCATTATTGCGAATTTTCTCTTCAACAGAGGAAGTCTATGTACAGCAGTTAACTTATATGGGCTGATGAAAAGTTATTGTTGATTGCAGTCTAGTTCTTTGTCTTTTTTCTTTCAGAGTTCTACATAAAAATCAAACGGACGAGTGGAAAGGCTGGATGCAACTTGTCATCCTTGTGTACCAAGTGACGGGGGCCAGTAAAGTACTGCCCATCTACATGTTGGTGCGGGCTCTGGTCTCCGCCTATCTCTTTCTAACGGGATACGGACATTTCTACTATATTTGGAAGACTGGAGACACCGGCCTGGTCAGATACTTCAGGGTCATTTTCCGGCTCAACTTCCTCACAGTGGTGCTGTGTCTGACGATGAACAGGCCTTACCAGTTCTACAGCTTCATACCGCTGGTTTCGTTTTGGTACACCCTGGTGAGTTGTGATGATATTCTACATATAGTACTAGCGTAGCGGTCTCGCCAACGGCAGGTCTTGGATTCGAATTCTAGTTGGATTTGTGCAATCAATCAAAAATGTCAAATTAATCAATTTTTTTTTATAGAATAAAGGTGACAAGCGAGCCCATAGTCCACCTGATGGTAAGTGGTTGCTGTGGCCCATAGACATCTACATTTATCCTCGATTATGTATCAAAATGCAGATGCGTTGCCACCCGTAAGGACTAAGTGGAATGCCTCGTTTTCAGTAAAAAGGGTCCCTGGTTCTCTACACTCACCATACGAAACACAGCCAGCAGCATTAAGCTGCTATTTTACACTGGTATTCTGTGAGAGCGTGATCCTTCCCCGATCGAGCCGACCCATTCGTGCTACAACTATACAACTAATATAACTGCAGCATGGCTCTACCACGTACAGAATTGTGCAAAAATTGTTAAATTTCTTAATACAGTCATGAGTCCCAACAGAATGAAGGGTTCAACACCACCAGCACACAGTTTATGCGAATGATGGTTGATAGTGATGATTCCATGATCGACTTCTGTTTTCTTCCATGGCAATGACTTCTGAATAGTCGAAAGTTATCTTACTTTTTTTTATATAAGGGTGACAAACGAGCACACAGTCCACCTGATGGTAAGTGGTTGCTGTGGCCCATAACATCTACATCTATCTTCGTTAGCGAATTAAAATGCTGGTGCGTTGTCAGCCGTGAGGACTAAGATAGAATGCCTCTTTTCCAGTAGTAAATAGGGTCTCCGGTTCTCTACACTCACCACACGAAAGCAGCATTAAACTGCTATTTTGTGAGAGCGTGGTCCTTCCCCGGTCGAGCCGAACCATTTGTGCTACAACTATACTATTAATATAGCTGCAGCGTGGCTCTACCACGTATACAAGCAATTGATCATCGTAACCCGGACGAACCTTAACCTAATCTAACCTTCAAGAAGCTTTGTTGAGGGGAATACCCGTCGCAGCCTTCATATATTGGTCCTTCGAGCCGGTTATTAAAAATTTGAAATTCGTATATTAAAACATTGACACATAATGAAGTTAGCTTCTGCTTCTAGTTATTAGGAAGACGCTGCTGCCTATCTCCTGGTTTGTTTCCTCTGTATCTCCTTTTAAGACACCGCTACTACACAGTACTGGTACGTCAGGGGAAGAGTGTGTTAATTTATCATACATTTGTGTAAAAATTCATTTTAGCCCTTTGGGGTGACGACGCATTCTTGGCCTCCTTTGTTTGTAGTTGGTTGTATGTGTCCAATAGTCCGTAGGGCAATAACCTTTTACTATCAGGTGGAGTGTTAATTAGTTTGTGATCTCATTGTAATAAAAATATTTAGCTTCCTAGCAAACCTATCTGTAATTTTAACTTTGTAATTCCGAAACGTCGGGTATTAAAAAGTAACAATTAAACGCTATAAAATCAGTAAAATTAGTTTCAATTAATTATTTGAGGGATGACTACATATTTGTGCAATTTGCTGTAGAGGCTATTTGGTCCGTAAGGGCCACGTGGTGGTGAAGTTTCGAAGGGAAGTATATTCGGGACTGGTCGTCGCTGCTGCTCTTAAGAGAGCTAGATCTTTTCTCGTTCAAAGGCTTAGTATAGCCTTTCAGCGAGAAAACGTAGCCAGCGTTCTTGGCACTATACCGCGGGAAGTAGGACAGCATGAAAATTTAAGATTTTTGTTTTATTATGGTAATAAATATTGTATCTATCTGAGATCTGCAAAAGGACATCACAATACATTTAAAACGTTGTGTTCCAGATGTTTGTCATATTCGCGTTACCCCCTCACATAACGCAATCCTCCACGCACACAGTGGAGTCGAAGCCCTACCAGTATCTTTACATAGCGCTCAAGATAATAGGTCTGCTGACAATCGTCACAGTCCTGTACATGAGCGAGGTGTTCTTCCAGAAGATATTCGTCACCAGGCCGTGGAAAGCGCTATTCGTCAACTCTGATGACGATATACATCAGTGGTGGTTGAGGTGGAAGCAGGATCGGTGAGTTTTTATTTATTTAAGAAGATTTTTTTATAGAATAAGTGTAACAAACGAGCACACAGTAAACCTGTTGGTAAGTGGATGCTGGAAATGGATGCCCATAGAGTTTTACATTTATCCTCGATTAGGAATCAAAATGCAGATGCGTTTGTCACCCCTGAGGATTAAGATGGAGTGCCTCACACAGCAGCATTAAGCTGCTATTTTATGCTGGTATTCTGTAAGGCCGTGGTCTTATCCGGTCGAGTCAACCCATTCGTGCTACAACTATAATGTAGTGTAGCTTAAATGATGGTAATTGATCACCGTCGCTCATGAACATCGGGAACAGCAAAAAAAATTGCAGGTGCGTTTCCGGTTTTAAAACAAAGACAGGGTTCTTTTCTTGAATGTCTGTAAGTAGTTGTATTGGGCCGGAAAAGTTTGCGAGATTGGTATTACCCACAATGTGAAATTTACTGTGTTTTGTAAAAGTTGTTACATACTATGAATATATTTGTCATCATCATCATCAACATCATTACGGCCCTTCACAAGTCCACTGCTGAACATAGGCCTCCTCCAAGGAATGCCACAAAGCACGGTCCTGAGCCACAATATGTTTGTCATGGAGCAGTATTATTTAAATTTGTCTGCTTCAGAATATTGTAACATTTCCGAGTGTACATCTATGTGTAGTGTTGGGTGGTTCGGGGAATAAATAAAACGTCCAATAGTCTAGACGGTAGGTTTAATACTAACTCTCTCTTATTCTATCCTACATATATATAAGCACACACTACACGCCCATCGGCAAAAAGAAAAAAAAATCATTTACAAAAATATTTTTTTTTTTTTAAATGTAACATAACTTGGTTTATAAAAAAAAATTATATAAAAGGTGTACATTACAAAGTATTAAAATTCTTATACTATAACATACTTATATCATAATAAAAAAAAAATCGTAAACACAGTAATTTTTAATTAATTTTATTTGTATTTATAGTAATAATAACAATTTTATTGTTTTATGTATATGGTCTAGTGCGATTTTTATGTATTGACTTATGTTTACCTTTGTAATCTATTGTTACATTTGGTTCACAATCTTCGATAACCTTAAATGGTCCTATATAAAGAGGATCAAATTTGTTTACACATTGTTCATTCTTAAGGAGTATCATATCACCGACATTATATTTAATTGGATTGGTATAGTAATCATACTTTGTTTTCCTACTTTGTTTGCTTAAAATTAAATTATTTCTTGCATCGTATTGCGATTTTTGAAGTCTATATCTAAGTTGTTGTGGATAATCATATGGGTTATATAAGGGCTCTATATCTAAAGTTAAATTAGTTGGCAAACGGCAAAGCTTCCCAAAAACAAGCTCATATGGAGTATACTTGGTTTCCGTGTGTACAGTGTTATTATAACCAAAACACCAATACGGTAACCAAGTGCTCCAGTTATGTGGTTCATTACCTGTTTGAATTCTGAGAAATGACATCAGATTTTTGTGGCTGTTTTCTAAGGAACCTATAGATTGGTGATGATATGCTGTTGACGTTACCTGTTGCGTTTTGAGAATACGGCACACGTCTTTCATGACGGTTGAAACAAATTCGGTCCCTTGGTCAGATATTATTTGTCGAGGAATACCATATCTCAAAATAAAATTATTGATAAAAGACGATGCCACTGAAATAGTATTCTTATGTTTAAGCGGATAGGCTTCAACATACTTACTTAAATCACACTGTAGTGTGAGTATATAAACATTACTATCGCTATCTTTACATAAGGGCCCTACTAAATCTAAATAAACTCTATCAAAAGCAGAATATCCCATATCGGTTATCACCATTGGTTCTTTTATATGCTTATTTAAGTGCTTATATCGCAAACACTTGTCACATTGGTTTACATAATTAGTCACATCCTTCTCTAACCCGGGCCAAAAGAATCTTTTCTTTATATTGTTTATCATTCGCCTTATACCGGCGTGACCGCTAGTTGGCAATAGATGATAGTCGTTTAATATTATACGTTTTGTCTCATGATCGTCGATTTTATGGACACCATTTAAAATTAATATTCGCGGTCCGGACCTATTTGGTGTCTCATTTATAATACGAGTTAACTCCCTAATTAATATATTGTTATTATTATTTTGTATAATATACAGACGATCTATCTTTCGCTTATTACAAAAGCAATCCAACTCCCTCACAAAGGCATCTCGTGCACAATATGATCGGAAAGAAGGATTTACATAAATTGTTGACTTTGCTGAGACAAAACAAAATAACTTAGAGTTAGAATAGAACTTTTCTTTCATTCTGTCTATCTTTTTCCATTCTTTTTCGTCTACAAATAATAATTCAGTGCAATCCTTCGGTTGTTTAAGTGTTCCCACGACTTTTGGGTGATCAGTCCAATCGTTGGTGGTAACCTTATCCTCCGTAGGGTTGTCACGCTTATCTTGCGCAATTTTGTTTTTTATTCGCTTTCTTTGCGCTCTTGTTAGAACAGATATGACCTTTTCATTCATTTCTTTCAAATCTTCACTCGAAATTTGGATGCGTGACAAAGCATCTGCAGCTGCATTGTCAGCTCCCCTTACATACTTGATAACAAACTTATACTCCTCAAGCAATAACCTAAACTTCGTAAGTCTACTTGACGGATTTGTCATGTTGAATAAATATACGAGAGGCTTATGATCCGTTTCAATAATGAATTCGCGTCCATATAAATAAGGTCGAAAGTATTTTACTGCCCATACTATCGATAATAATTCCTTTTCGATAGTAGGATAGTTTTTCTCGGCTTTGTTTAAAGTGCGGCTAGCATATGCAACCGGTCGTCCGTCATGATTACATAAAACGGAGCCTATAGCAAAACCAGACGCGTCAGTTTTTAAAATAAAATTTTGGTCAAAATTTGGGTACTGAAGTATGGGAGGAGTCGTTAAAGCATTTTTAAGCGTTGAAAAAGATAGTTTACAGTTTTTATTCCAATGAAATTTAACATTTTTGCGACATAAATTGTTTAGAGGTAAAACGATTTCAGAAAATTTTGGTATAAATCTTCGATAGTAATTCGCAAACGCTACTAGTCTTTTTACATCGTTGGTATTTTGAGGAATTGGGTAATTTTGTAATACTGATATCTTTTTTGGGTCAGGCTTAATACCTTCGGAAGAAAAAATGTGGCCAAGATAAAGAAGTTCTTTTTTTAGAAAAACACATTTTTTCGGGTTTAACTTTAAGTTTACTTTTCTTAAGCGTGATAATATTTCTATTAAATTTTTATTATGATTATCTAAGTTTCTGCCAAAACAAATGAGGTCGTCTAAATAAGTGAGCGCTTTTTCGTAATTTAAACCAGCCATGGATATTGTAATAGCACGAGAAAAGGAACTTGGGCTTGTCTTTAAGCCCATTGGCATTCTGGTCATCTGATATTGACCAGAGGGTGTAGTGAAAGCCGTATACCTTCTACTAGATGGATTAAGGCTTAATTGGTAAAAAGCTTGATTGAGATCAAGGTGGGTAAAATACATTGCTCCTGATAAGGAATCTAATATGTCTGTAATATTGGGTAACGGAAATTTGTCATCTACAATACAGTTGTTTAATTTTCGAAAATCGATAACCAAGCGCCAGCTCCTGTCCTCACCATTTTCTGGCTTTTTGGGTACAAGAAGCACAGGACTTGACCACTCACTGCAAGCTGGTTCAATAATTCCGTCTTGTAACATATTTTTGACTTGTGTTTCTATTTCGTTCCTCTGAGAATAGGGTAATCGATACTGTTTTACATACACTGGGTCAATATTAGGTTTTAACTGAATATTATGTTCATATAAGTTACAAGTTGTTAATTGATCTCCTGGCAATAAAAATATGTCGGAAAATTTTGCACAAATATGTATAATAGAAGATTTTTTCTCTTTATTTAAATGATCCAAATTTAATAAATTTAACATTTTATGAACGCGTTCGGGATCAATGAGACTTTTATCAAACTTACAAATTGAATAATTATGTAAACTATCGGTTTCAGGTCTAAAATAACTAAGATTGACCGGATCCTCTCGTGTATTTAATATTTTTATTGGTATTTTCCCGTTATTCGCTTTGACAATTCCACCAGACAGAAATACTCCCTCGCATAACTCTTTCGGAAAGACAACACAATCTTCTATCATACTCGCATTGATATAAAATAAATTCTCGCATCTCGGAGGTATACTCAAATAATTATTATTTCCCAAAATACCCATATGCAATGGCAAAGTTACTAATTCATTCATATTATGCAGTGTAATAGTATTCAATTCAAAATTTATGTTACAATTAAATTTACGTAAAAAATCTATACCTAAAATTCCAGAAGTTTCACACGGCAACTGCTTTATAACATGAAACTTATTATTAAATTTCAGCCCGTCAACAGACAATGTTAAATCAACAAATCCCACGGTTCGTAATTTGCCTCCAATTCCGTTTATTGTAATCGGTTTCTTTTGTAATGAAATGTTTAGTTTACTAAGCGTGTCATATTTAATCACACATAAAGAAGCGCCGGTATCTACGAGCCATCTACATTTGATACCATCTATTGCTAACTCAACACAATTACTATATTCGCAACTAAATATATTATTGGTCTCGAAAAAATTCTAGGTTATTTTCACTATTATCGTTATTAGGGTTAATTTCAATATTTTGAGAACTTTGCGATACGCGATATTCTGGTGTTATAAAATGAACTCGCTGGGCATTTTGACCACGAAAAGATCCGCGATTCTGGTATGAGTACTCACCATAATTACCTTTTTTCCCGCGGTGTTGTTGATTTCCACACGAAAACTTTTGGGGTACCGGTTTCCTCCAATTCACATTATTTTTTGCTTGGGTATGCCAAGGATATGTTTGTCGTGGTACATTATTGGATGTATACCTACCACGAAAATTTTTACGCGTTCCTGAACCACCTCGATTTCCGAAATAAATCGATGGTTCGGAGTACTCGCTAGGTCGAACACTAGATGTCTCCTCATCCTTTGCAGCTCTAATTGTTTCTTTTAACGTACTATAATTGCGTGCTGACAAAATAATACTGAGTTGTCGGTTTCGCAAGCCATTTGTGAAACTTTTAATAGCGATCTTTTCATTTATAGGACGTAAAATTTTATGCGCGTTTTGGTCACCATCGGCTTGGGAAATCGTCAAATCTACGAATAATTGTTCGATTTTATTGCCATAATTATCTAGGGAACTACTATTTTGTCTTATTTGCATTAGTTCGTTATGAATGGAAGTGTAAGATTTCTTTGTTAAAAGGTGGTTCCGCATATCACTTATAAGCGCCTCGCATGAGTCATAGGAATCTAATAGGCGTAACTTAGCACCTTCATTCAAACGAGTCTTTAACACAAATTTTATTAACATAGCTACCTTCTTCTTTAAGCGAAGAGCTATATAACTCTATCGAGTCCATCAAGGTTTTGGTGACCGATTCCTCGCCCGTCATCACTGGCAGGAGTGACACAGCAGTTTTAAAGTCGAAACTTTCCATGGTGAATATTTCGCTTTGAATAGTGCCCTTGGAAGTTGATTGAGAGCTGTAATCCTTACTACAAAAGTTTTCTATTTGTCCATATAAACTCTTAATTAAATCGCAATATGATTGTATTTCAATTAATGCATTACTTTTAATTTGTTTACTTTCTATCTCTTTATTTAAAATTATCAAACAATCATCAAATTCTTTACGTAATTGTACTGATTCCTTAAGTTTTTGTTGCAAAATGCTTTTAGTTCGCTTATCATAACTTAATTTAACTAAATTATTTTTAATATTTTTAAATTTTTCATATATTATTATTAATTCACTAGACATGGAAGTACAGTTAAAAAGAAATATCGTTGTCAAAATATTTTAAGGTTTAAGGCATACATATAAGGCTATTTTTATTATTTATTTTTTTTTCCCTTTTTTTTTAAACTTAAACTATAACATATTTTTCAATTTAAACCTCATTTTTTCAACTTGACGCTTTCGTTGTCTCCCGGCGGTCCTCATGGCGGCACTCACAGCATGCACGGGGTACACGAGGTCCTGGGTCCGGTGATCGCACAAAAGAACGACGCAAATTGTGCATTACCATCTCATTCCGCATCCAGCTTGTATGGCAACTTTTGTATATTTTGTATACACCATAGAGAAGAGCCAAGCCCAAAACTGTGCATATTATAATCAGCACGACGGATATCCCAGACAGGTGGCTTTTAATTTCTTCTACATGTGCAGAATTTGAGCCTCCTGAAGTGTCTTGCGTAATAAATACTTGGTCTTTCTTGACTTCAGAACGACACATTTTTTTTTTTAAAACGCGGCCCGCGACCGAACCCAGGCAGACCGCCGATGAACTGGCAGGGTCGCCATGTAGTGTTGGGTGGTTCGGGGAATAAATAAAACGTCCAATAGTCTAGACGGTAGGTTTAATACTAACTCTCTCTTATTCTATCCTACATATATATAAGCACACACTACATATGTTTGACCGTGTAGTGGCGGTGTAAGAATATTTACTGCCGCATATCGTCCCGTGGGTGTCGTAAGAGGCGAAAGAGGGAAAAAACGAGGAGATGGACCGCAGCGTCTTCCAAATAACAACTAAAAAGTAAAAAACTGCGTTTACCAACCTATAAAGTGTGACAACTATGGCGAATATCCCACTTATGAGGCAATCTATGAGGAGGCTTATGTGCAGTAGTGGATTTTCCATAGTTCAAAACGGTACAGTACCGTATATACGTAAGTGTGCTGTGATTATGGAAAATGTCAGAGAGACTTTTATACACCCGGTAGATGGCGGTATTACCATTTAAGCAAAGCGTAAAATAGTACTGGGGACGTGAAAAGTCCAAGATGTCTGGCACGATCGCCAGTCTTTCAGAAAGGTTAGAAGCAGACGAAAATATACAACAATAAAATCTCTTTTGCAGGTACTCTATGGCCTATGGCATAATTTTCGCTACAGCTTACCTTCTCGCTCAACGCTACAACCTCCTAGACGACAACAACCACAGCAACCTGTTCACGCCAGGTTTATCCCTTACGGCGACACTTCTAGCTTTCATCGGGATCGGGAGCTACGTCACATTCACCTTCCTATGCAGCAATACCTTCGATTGCAACGAAATCCACAGCTACGTGGCCTTTCTACCCATCGTTAGTTACATCATACTAAGGAATGTATCCGGCGCATTGAGGACCAAACATTCGAATCTCTTCGCTTGGTTTGGTACCATTACTTTGGAGTTGTTCGCTAGTCAGTCGCATATCTGGCTCGCAGCCGACACCCATGGCGTTCTTGTATTAATACCAAGCGCGCCAATACTCAATCTGATTCTAACGTCGTACATTTTCATTTTCACCGCCCACGAAATACATAAGCTGACCGGTATCATTCTCCCGTACGCTGTTCCCGATGATTGGAGACTGGTTTTGAGAAATTTCGCGATATTCCTCGCTATTTTAGTACCGATCGGTATTCATGATGGTATGTTTTAGGCTTGCACAAGGGATAACTTTAGTTACGCTAAGATTCTTTGTATATATTGTAATGTAGTTAATTTATTATTGTGGCTTTTTTATAATTTTATACTTGAAGTAATAGATTTTTTTTTGTAAACTTTTGTAAGTACCAAACAAAATAAGTACAGCACAAAAAAGTACAAAATAAACGATTTTCCCCGTCATACCATTCGTAAATTTTACTTTTTTAAATTCAATAATTGTTATAAGTCAAAGTTTCAGTGTCATATTGGCACGTTATCCTTTTGTCTTATAATACGTATTTAATGATTTTTCAATGCGCGCTTCTAGGACCTATTTGGACTGTGATAAAAATGGCTTTTCAATTGATGTGATTTTTTTTTAAATAATTAGGATACACGAGTCAATGAAACTTAAGAGTTTCGTGTCATATTGTAATATATTTTTTTGACATTTAATAATATAATTTCTTCTTGAAGAACTTCAAAATCATATGACAATTCTGAAAACATTGCTAGAGATAAAATTATTGCATTACAGTATAATTTTGTCAATCAAAAAATCTCGGGGTGTTTCTGCATGCCACATTTTTTCTTATAATTTTTCAAAAACTTACGTAGAATATAATATAATATAATATGATAACTTTAGTACTGTACGATGATATTCAAATAAGAATAGGAATAACCTTGCGCCACATTATGACGTCGTAGCTGTCAATTCAAAACGGTAAGTTAAGGTATAAGCAAAACAGATATTTTTGAAATAATATATTTTTGCAAAAGAACCATGAATGAAAAGTCTATTCTGAATTTGGCACTTCAATGCCGCTCATCTCTGCCTCACTGCCTGTGTAGTCATCATCGTCATCACTGCTGCTTTTCTTTATTAAAATTAAACGGATATGTTTAGGTATTCAAATTATTCCACTGACTGTTATTTAATAGAAAAAAAGGCACTATAATTTTAATTATGACTGCAATACTAAGGTTCAATAACAGTAACACAAAGTAAAAAAGAAAAAGTTATTAAAACGCAAATAATTTTTTTTGCTAACCGTTTTTAAGTGACAGTTGACAGATGAGGTCAATGACGTTCCTATACTTAGTTGAATCGCATTGTTATAATATAGTAATATGTTTTTATAGGTTTTAAACGCTGGTCGTAATGTCACTTATATTTACTTAAAAATTTCGAAATTCATATAATTTGTAGTGTGTATCTGTGTGTCCGTCACACGTGGCATCATAGCTCCTGATCAGATAACCGATTTTAATTAGGTTTTTTTCGTTTGAAAGGTGTCTTAATCGATAGTGTTCTTAGTTGTTTCAGGAAAACCTGTTCACACTTTCGAAGATCAAACATTTTTGTTTCGGGGGTTTTAATTTTTTTTAATTTAAGTTATTACATAATATGATGTTGGTATCATACTATCTAATAACTTAAAGCATATTTTTTTAATTATTATATTTTTACAATGTTAGGCTGATTCATCACCTTCTTTTTGAGTATTATTCATTTAGTCAAGTAGTAAGTTATAATCTCTTAAATTATTCTAATGAACAGGACAATTAAAATCTAAAACAGATGGTGTCACTACTGGTTCTTTACTATCAGTTGGATCTCAATATCTATTTTGCATGTATGTATATATCTGTTACAAGAGCTTCCAATGTTTTTTAATTTAATTTTTATACTTTTATAATGTAATTTGTCGTGACCTACATAAAATGTTTATCGGAATAAATTAATTTGGTAGTTACCGCACTAGTTATTATGTTATTAGGTTTTACCCAATGTAAAAAATTATCGAAGTAGAATTAATTACATTGCCACAATAATACCCTAATGAATAGGAACTAAAGATTAGAGCGTTATCTGCAATATTTTGAAGCACTGAAATTTGATCTCCTTGGAACTTTCCTTTTTTTTTTGGGTAAAAGTGAGTTCCTCTATTTTTACATGAACGCCAAAATGCTATTTTATAAAAAAATATTTTATTTATTATAAAACGGCTCCGTGGCGCAGTATCTTAGCTGTAAGTTGCAGCGCTAAGGGCTGCGGGTTCGAATCCCGCACGAATCAAGTAATTGTTCCGGGTCTGGATGTTTGTACTTGTGAAATTTATGTACGTAAATTGCCCCCACGATGCAGCAGAAAATCCTAGTGTGGAGTTAACATTAAAAAAAAAAGAAAAACATCTTAAATTAACATATCATGTGTGTCAAATGTTCCGGATTGTACTATTTTAGTCCTTTGCAGTGGCGGCGCCCTCTAAACGCTTAAGTTCGGCAGTCGCTTTCTCCATTTTTACATAAAAGCAATAGTACCGACGAACCCACACGACCTTTTTGAAAAAGGTCGAACCGTCATTCGACTTCTGTCGTGAACTCAGTCCTCGCACAAACATTTTAAGCTTTGGAATGGTTAACAGAAATAGAAGTGTTAAATACCAACAACTTTTTATAACAAAAAAATCCATAATTAGATATGTTAATAAATTTGTTAACTAGATCTTGAATACAATTGTGTTCGGATTTAAATTTATGGTTTCCCCAACACTGTATTCGAACTTTACTGCAATATTATCAAATAATAGAAAAGTATAATTTAAGTAACGTTCGCAAATAATAAAAAAATATATTAATTTAAATTGAAGAGCATAATAACAGTTTGTAGACGAGCATAATAATGGTGTAAATATGTAGTTCGATACTGTCAAATAACCTGCGAATCAAATGCACTGTGATTTTAAAATTTCTAAGCTTTGGATTATGTCATTTATGGTTATCTGTAATAAAATATTAAAAATTATTTCGTTTTTTTTTTAAATCTTTTTCTTCGTTATTACTAGGTGGTTGGGACTCCTTGTCTCCTATCCTAGATCCTCCAAGATGTCTGTCTGGGTAGGGGTCACACTCTTACCTATTCGTGCAATCAAATAGTACTGCATGCACTACTGTGTTCCTGTCTAAAGAGTTAGAAGGTCAAAATTATTTCAGGTTATGAGGCCATTAGGCTCAATTTACATTGCGGCAGGCCTCTTTCACTCTTGCTACCTGCGTGAAATGGTTGCCTACAATCGCGAGCTGCCCCAGGGGTAGATCGCAGTCGGGGCTAGCGTGCTCTAGGCGATTGAATGTTAACGTTTTTTTAACACTGTTTACGTAAATATTTTTATGTAAATACTTGTTGAAATACTCGTCTAAATAGATTTTGTTTAGTGTTTAGTATATTTAATTGTAGGATAAAATAGTTGAAAAAAGTTTTAATGTAATTTAAGAATAATATATATGTACATTACCTATCTATTTGATAAATTATAATGGCAAAACGTCGTTCTTACTATAATTGTTGCGGGGATGGATGCTTAATGGGCAATGAAAAGGATTCAGATATATCATTTTTTGAGTTACCGAAGGATAATGAAAGGAAAATTTATTTCACTTTTTTGTTAGATAGGCACTTATAGCGAAAAAATAAATTAAGTTATAATTTAACTTCAGAAGTAATACCTAAGTACTTTATTACAAAACTTAGTTGAAATTTACTTCACTACCCAAGTACCTACTTACATACCTATACTCGTCTTTGTAATTAAAATATTTTAAGTTATAATAGCACAAAGTCCTGAAATTAAAACTTTGCTTACAAGATTTTCAACTAAGTAGATTACGATCATATTTCTGCTAGGAATCGTATTTCGGATTTATTTGTTGTTTACGTTATCTACCTATACGAACCAAGCATCGCGATTGCCGACAAATGGCCTTGCAAGTTGCATGCCTCCATCACCTTAGTAACTTACCATTTCACAATGTATTTTTTTACTCTTTATTAACAGCCCTTAGCAACCACGGAAAGTCCGTTGTGACGTAGTAAGGAGAAAAGATGCAAAGTAATACGGACACTCGCGCGCAGCGATAAAGTTTTATTTAGCTTGCGTGCCCGATTTATCTGATTAATAATAACTATGTAGGCTATTAAAACGTCGGCAAGCAGTCAACATCAAAAGAGTGCAACTTCTGTACGTAGTACTATTTTTTATTCTGTGATTGCGGCGGAATAGAAGCGTCAATTTCGCCTGGTCGCGTTCCCACGCGAACCGTGAAGCCGTGCGAATTCGCGGAAATGTTCGAGCATCCAGCGACTGCACCTCGCTTAGCTTGTAAGTTATACAATCATATTTTAGCACGAAAAAGATCAACTTTTCGTCTAAATCCATGTTTTTAGTCACACAGTACGTACACAACCTGTTTCGTAGGGCTTGACGCCGCACTGCTGCGAGTTTCTGTGCGAGGTTTCCAGCGGATTCCACAACCTTCGCGCCGCTTCCCGCGGATTACACAGACTGCGCCAACAGTAGCTAGGGGAATCCGCGCGAAATCCACGGTAGACGCGCGATTTTTTTTGGCTCATATCTAGTTTGAACTTTATACAATTAACATTAAAACTCATTTTACTATGTACAATTTCGTTAAATTGGGCCTTAGTCCTCAGAAGTGACAATGCATGTGTTGCCTTCTTTGTTTGATGTTGGTTGCACTTCCATGGGCTGCAATAGCCATTTTACCATCAGGTGAACCCACATAGAAAAGGACCTATTACTACTTCTTACCATGTAGTAAAGTTTGAATGTTGTACCACCTAGTAAAAGTTGCTTCCAATATTGCGCCCAAAACTTCTCAGCACGCTGGTTAGGTTGGTTGGTGAACGCAGAGCACCAGTCCATGGGATTTGGGTTCATAGATTTTGTCGATTGTCAGAGCTGCTACGGTCATTCAGCACATTACTTAGTGAGCAGGTGTGAGTTAAATTTGGGATAGAGGTGGCATATTCCCTGTCAGTTATTTCAGATATTAAAAGAGCCATTTTAACAAGCAAATTTATTTAATTTTTACATTGTCAATGAATAAGACGTCATAATAATGAGTACACATCTTAACGTAGATGAGTGTAAATTGATAGTGTAAACTTTTATTTACATCTTCATAACATGACTGGTTTATTATATT